TGTGATAGACTGGAAGCCAGCAGCTGAATAGGTGCCTTTGTTCAATGCTACCTTCCCAAAGACTTGCCTTTTCATACCCCCACCTCCCATGAGGGAGCCCAAAATACTCAGACCAAGGACTAAGAAAAAGAAAACACATCAGAACCTATACCCACAGTAGCACAGCTAGAACATAAACAAGAGTTTCTACTTGGATGCATGATTCCATCATTACACATTTAAATTAAATTAAAATACTTAGGGCTAAGGGTAACCTTCTTTTATTGTGAAAAAAAAATGATAATTTTGGTAAATACAGAAATGAAATTTGCTGTGTGCCTATCATATTTCTGTTATGGACACATTTTGAAGGCAAAAAGCTTCAAAAGTGAACTAAAAGTGAGACCCCAACCCAGGAATGGGTCAGAAAGGAGGTAATTTCTGCTATGCCTTTACCCATTTTCTTTCAATCACATAATCAGTTCAGTACCTCTCCCCTGTAAAGCAACCCCATCAGTCAAAATTCAATATGGTCAGACACAAAAACAGTTTTAGTGAATCTGCAATCTCAACAGGGGCACCTGAAATGACCACTCACAAATCATAACATGTAGCATTTAGCATTGTCAAAAATGCTACATGCACCTATTTTGGTGCATTAGGCAGCCCATTCAAAGAAATAGGCTGCCTTAACGCAACACATGTTAACACATGGCATAATGCACATGAGCTAACCAGCACAATTGTTTGAATGGGCCCTCAACTATTGTCTCAACAGAAATCAAAATCTGTTAGCGTCTAGTGCAGGTTAAAAACTGAATGCCTGATTGTTTGGCAGCAGGGGGGCAAAAGCACTGTCCAGCAGTATCCTTGCCTAAACACACTTCCTGGCTGATGATAAACCTTATTCACCTTACTTTTACAACTGAACATTTCCTACTTCTTTAGTAAATCCATCACCCTGACAGTATGAGATGGAGTAGTAAAGTTCAGCCATTGTGTAAATATGCAGAGCACAAAGGAGAGCTTGCATATGTAGTCTACAAATATGGCTGCCCTCATTAAGCAATATAGATTCAAACAATACTCATATAAACGGATGAAGTAGCTTTACACTAGTTACCACATTCCTCACCACTATTCTCTTCTGTATTTATGAGACACCACTGCCTGAAAATTATTTTGCACTCAACACTTTCAGTTGCCTTGTCCCATTGTGTGAGCTGCAGTACCTCCCAATAAAAAGTGATGAACTGAAACGACCTAGGTTCAGTTTTGTGAGAGGTTCGCCAAGCAGCTCACAAGTTCTGAATGGTAATCCAAACCCCATTGAAACCAATGGGAGCCAAATCTTTAAAATCAGTTTTGACCATTTTCAGGAAAATAAGCAAGGGCTTGCCAACAGGGGTGTATTTACCACAAGGCAAACATGGCATTTGCCTAGGGTGACATTTTTCAGGGGGGGCAGCACTGCCACTTGGAAGAAGGGACAGAAGAAGGGACACACATGGCATGGGGACCTGGTGGGGTCTGAGAGATGCTGTGGGTTTCATGACGGTGTATGCACAGCCCGACTCTTGTTCCTGGGGACGTCCAGAGCTGTGAAGGTGAGTGTCTTTCTCTCTTTTGCCATGGGGGATGGTGGCTGGTGTATGGGGGGCAGTGGTAGTGGCAGGCTCTGGTGGAGGGCAGGGGTGTTCTTGGTTAATGTCAGGCTCTTTCTGCTGGGGGGGGGGGGGGGAGAGGCCAATTTTTGTATTGCCTAGGGCAGCAAAAAACCTAAATACACCACTGCTTGCCAAACAAATGGACAGGGAGCTGGGAACAGCAATTTGAATAATGCTTAAAGTGAAACACTGAAAATGCTCAATTTCTTTCAAAAACATGCTTGAAGGTTGCCTTCAACCTTCCTATGAAGTGGCAGAACTGTATGATATATACAATAAACTACAGCAAAACTGACATTTACAAAGAAAAAAAAACTAGGCTTTTTTTTTGCCGGTAAGTGACATTTCCCTGCCAGCTTGATTTTCTATGTAAAAAATGAAAAAACAAGAAAAAAGCTGATAGAGAATGTAAATCACTGCCATTTTTTCCCCATGATCCATATCAGAACCCTTACTTTGATGCGGCTCTTTTATGGATTTTAAAGGGGAACCCCAAATTTAAAAAATGGTGTAGGATCTTCTCACAATTCATACCAGATTTTTGAGGAGTACTCCAAGAAAGGGGAGGGGGCAAGCGTGCAGGCTCCTCCTGAACAACAGTATGAGGAGAATGACAGGCGCATGGTTTATCAGTCCATGTATATGTGGTAATAAGTTCCAAAGTGGGCAGGGATAGTCCAGTAGGCACTAAGGGTAAGCTGCGATGGAGCGAAGCAAACTCTGCAGTAGAAGAAACAAAGAAACACAGCATCTCTAAGTGTATACTGCGATTATATTTAATAAGAAGGTAAGTAGTAACTCACATCTTAGAATTTAAAAACAGGCTCATATGGTGGAGAAGTAAATGTCTGTAGCCAGATGTTAGGTGACTGATCCAGAGAGGAGATAGCCTAGGTTCGCCAGCAGATGGTGCTATGTATGTGAAGCATGGGTGGTGAAGCCTGGCAGAGTCTCCAAGATGTCCGGGATTGGTCACATTTGGTGTCTGATGTCATCAATGTGCTAATGATTGCGGACCTCCTCTCTGGATCAGTCACCTAACATCTGGCTACAGATGTTTTACATCTCCACCATATGAGCCTGTTTTTAAATTCTAAGATGTGAGTTACTACTTACCTTCTTATTAAATATTATCGCAGTATACACTTAGAGGCGCTGTGTTTCTTTGTTTCCATCTGAATAACACAAGGCCATAAGCCTTTAACATGGAGAGGGTACCTCGTTGGGAGTGACCTCCTTGGCAAAGCTCCATGTTGAGGAGTAAAAATGCCTCTTCCTCTCAACCGTGATTAAAATCCAGGAGTCGCTCTTAAAAATAAGATACTGGCCCCCACCCTACATGAATTAGACAGTACCTCTTATTCACAAAACAATAAATAAGTACACCATTCAGCAAGTTCTTTATTTTTAAAAAAAAGATCCACCATGTAAATCCATTATCAATTATGATAAATGATGCCCACCAGAAAAAATCAAGCCAAACGACAGATTCCAGGCTGAGAGATGAATTTTAAACAGTGGGTGCAGGATGGTGGCTGATGTGACTGTCCAGATACGTCCATGGCCATATTTGGTCAGTGATGTCAGTCACTATTCCCACCCCTTTGTATGCATTTATCTGTCAACTAGTAATCCCTGGCTGACAGCTGAATGGCTGGGGATATGTGGTTGCTAGGAAGCTCTCCTATAACAAGGTTGCTTTAAAGCTGAACTCCAGGTAGATATAAAAGGCACCTACAAATGCAGCTCTGTAATCAAAAATGCTTTATTAAATGTATTTTTCAATACAAGCTTTGTAAGTACCTGACTGTAACTTGATATCAGTCTCTAGCAATCCCTGTACTGCTGGGCTCAGGCAAGGAGAGGAAGAAGCACAAGGAGCCAATACGTTGTGCTGCTGTGCAAGGAGCCTGCCAATAGGAGGTGAAAAGCAGAGAAATATCAGATCCTCAGCCCTGCCAGGCAGAAATGTGCTGTGTGGCAGAGCTGTGCTATCAATTAAAAGGTTACAAGTGCATTCCTTCAAGCAATATGATTAGTGAAATGGAGGATGCTGAAATTATAATGGATGGCATTGTCAATATGAAGTTTGAAGATATGTGATTCATCATCAGTATATCTGAATGCTTGTCCAAAACAATTTTCCTGGTCAATAAGATCACTTCCGAAAATCATTCAAGTGTGCTAATAGTGAACTGCACATCTGCAGAGCTGTGTGTACATCTCAGCACTGGATGGACAAAAATACAAATGTGTATGTTATAAAAAAAACCAAAACAAAAAAAACATATTTAGCTGTGTGCCTGGTGTTCAGCTTTGAAACAGTTTGCCTTTAAAATTAGGCTTTAGATTCCCTGATACAGTGAAATGTTAAGCAATGCAATTTTGCACCATCTTCTTGACAATCAGATTCCAGTTAAGAGGACAGAATAGCATAATCACCTGCATTACAATTCCACCTTTAAAGTGAATGGTTAGTTGAATACAGAGGTCAGCTACTATATGTGCTGTTGGTGACAGGGTAGATCTCAGCTCTGATTACACATGGTATTCTGAAATGATTAACAAAGGAGCATATTGTAATGTGAAAAAACTGCCTCAACCGGGAATTTTGGCACACTCCGGAAATACCGATATAATTTAACAGTTCACAAATGTTTGAGGCTCATATTTACCATCTTGCAGCAGTAAAATGCAGGAGCCAACAGTAGCTGTTGTCTTTCCAACCTGATCCAAAGAAAATAAAAAAACTTTAGTGCAAACAAATCTGTTTTGGTCATCTAACAAAAAACTATGTATAGATATTTTTTTTTTGAATTATGAATAATTTCATGTGTAATGAATTGCAATGACATTGGAAATGGTAATGTATGCAATAGCATTTTCTCTTTTGGCATTTTTTTCACAGTGGAGGAAAGAGACAGTTCACAGTTCTCAGACGTAGGATGGAATTAAATGAATTTCTGTGTCTGCTATGTGACAATAGAGGGCGCTGTTTTACTTGTTCAGATAATACCACCATGTCCTATGGATGTTGAGGAGTAGGGGACATTATAAAATAAAGCCTGTATTGAACATTTGAGTTTTGCTCACGTATGTTTCTTTGTTTGTGGGGAACATAGTTTTTATTTTTTTAACACTGTTAAATAATATATAACCTTCTATTCAAATGTATACTTTGTAATTTTCAAGTTCAGTAGTGTTGTAGCTTGTAGGCTTAATTCAAGAATACGTTTCCTTTTCATTTTTAACTTCGCCAACTGTAAAACAAGGCCTACAGTATAAGCCAGGGGTCCTCAAACTTTTTAAACAGGGGGCCAGTTCACTGTCCCTCAGACCTTTGGAGGGCCGGACTATAGTTAAAAAAAAAAAAAAACTATGAACAACTGCGGACAGTACAGGAGATGACCAGAGACTGCGGACATAGTACAGGAGATGACCAGAGACTGCGGACATAGTACAGGAGATGACCAGAGACTGCGGACATAGTACAGGAGATGACCAGAGACTGCGGACATAGTACAGGAGATGACCAGAGACTGCGGACACAGTACAGGAGATGACCAGAGACTGCGGACACAGTACAGGAGATGACCAGAGACTGCGGACACAGTACAGGAGATGACCAGAGACTGCGGACACAGTACAGGAGATGACCAGAGACTGCGGACACAGTACAGGAGATGACCAGAGACTGCGGACACAGTACAGGAGATGACCAGAGACTGCGGACACAGTACAGGAGATGACCAGAGACTGCGGACACAGTACAGGAGATGACCAGAGACTGCGGACACAGTACAGGAGATGACCAGAGACTGCGGACACAGCACAGGAGATGACCAGAGACTGCGGACACAGCACAGGAGATGACCAGAGACTGCGGACACAGCACAGGAGATGACCAGAGACTGCGGACACAGCACAGGAGATGACCAGAGACTGCAGACACAGTACAGGAGATGACCAGAGACTGCGGACACAGTACAGGAGGTGACCAGAGACTGCGGACACAGTACAGGAGATGACCAGAGACTGCGGACACAGTACAGGAGATGACCAGAGACTGCGGACACAGTACAGGAGATGACCAGAGACTGCGGACACAGTACAGGAGATGACCACAGACTGTGGACATAGTACATGAAATGACCACAGACTGCGGACATACAACGGCGGCGGGAATACTAGGCCGGGCCGCTCCATAAGACGCACAGACATTTCCCCCCAAGTGTGTCTTATGGAGCGAAATAGTGCCCCATCATTGGTGTCAGTGGGAAGATACGTGCCCCATCATTGGTGTCAGTGGGAAGATATGTGCCCCATCATTAGTGTCAGTGGGAGGAATAGTGCCCCATCATTGGTGTCAGTGGGAGGAATAGTGCCCCATCATTAGCGTCAGTGGGGGGAGGAATAGTGCCCCATTGTTGGTGTCAGTGGGGGGAAGAATAGTGCCCCATCGTTGGTGTCAGTGTGTGTGTGTGGGGGGGGGGGGGATAGTGCCCAGTCATTGGTGTCAGTGGGGGAAGGGGATAGTGTCCCAACATTGGTGTCAGTGGGAGGAATAGTGCTCCATCATTGGTGTCAGTGGGAGGAATAGTGTCCCATCATTGTTGTCAGTGGGAGGAATAGTGTCCCATCATTGGTGTCAGTGGGAGGAATAGTGCCCCATCTTTGGTGTCAGTGGGAGGAATAGTACATCATTGGTGTCAGTGGGGGGGAATAGTGCCCCGTCATTGGTGTCAGTGGGGGGGGGGGATAGTTTCCCAATATTGGGTGTCAGTGGGAGGAATAGTACCCCATCATTGGTGTCAGTGGGGGAAGGAATAGTGTTCCATCGTTGGTGTCAGTGGGGGGTGGAATAGTACCCCAACATTGGTGTCAGTGTGTGGGGAGGGGGGGATAGTGCCCAGTCATTGGTGTCAGTGGGGGAAGGGGATAGTGTCCCAACATTGGTGTCAGTATGAGGAATAGTGTCCCATCATTGGTGTCAGTGGGAGGAATAGTGTCCCATCATTGATGTCAGTGGGAGGAATAGTTCCCCATCTTTGGTGTCAGTGGGGGGGGGATAGTGTCCCAACATTGGTGTCAGTGGGGGAAGGAATAGTGTTCCATCGTTGGTGTCAGTGGGGGGTGGAATAGTGCCCCATCGTTGGTGTCAGTGGGGGGGAGGAATAGTGCCCCATCATTGGTGTCAGCGAGGGGAGGAATAGTGCCCAATCATTGGTGTCAGTGGGAGGAGTAATGCCCCATCATTAGTATCAGTGACACAAATGATGGGGCACTATTCCTCCGACTGACACCAATGACACTTAACTTGCTGACCCCTGTTCCAGCATGGTGCTGCTGCAGCCAGCATAGCTGGTTGCAGCAGCACCATCTGCACGGCACACTTACCGGGCGGTCAGCTGTCCTCTTTCATTCAATCCGGCCTCTCCCTCACTCCATGTTCGCAGGGCCGCTCGGCTCCGCCTCCTCACAGGTGATTGGCTGCCTGTGTGCCTTTCCTGAGCTACAGTTCTGGAGCCCAATCACCGGTGAGGAGGCGGAGCCGAGTGGCAGTGCGAATATCGAGTGAGGGAGTAGCCGGTGTGAATGAAGGAGCAGCGCTTCCTGGACTGGATCATCGTGGGACTGGGACACGGAGCCAGGTAAGATACAGCAGCCCCCTGCCCGCCCCTGTACTTAGTGTCCCTTCCTCGCGGCAAATACGCCCCTGCCGGCGGGCCGGATAAATGTCCTTGGCGGGCAGCATGTGGCCCGCAAGCCGTAGTTTGAGGACCCTGATATAAGCAAACAAACTTTGAAATACACAGACTTTTTGCATCTGCAGCTCTTGTAACACTAGACCAGTGTTTCTCAACTCCAGTCCTCATGGACCCCCAACAGGTCATGTTTTCAGGATTTCCATTATTTTGCACAGGTGATTTGATCAGTTTCACTGCCTTAGTAATTACCACAGCTGTTTCATCTGAGGGAAATCCTGAAAACATGACCTGTTGGGGGCCCATGAGGACTGGAGTTGAGAAACACTGCACTAGTCCTTCCTGGCTTTGTAATCATACACAAATTTTGCCTGCATGTTCTTCACAGGTTACCATGGGTGTTATGGTCACTTCCAACATAGCAAAAAAACATACCTGTAAGGTTGGCAACTAAGAACATTGCTCACAGCGTGAAAATAAATAAGTAAAAGTGCTTAGGTGAAATGTTTCACTTTTTTTGTACTTACCGTAAAAGTTTGTTTCTTGGAATGCATTAAGCAACACGGAATCAGTAGTTATTCTGATATGATTTGGTTGTATTGCTGCCTTCAGGAGACACTGGACACTGGCTAACAAAATAGCTTTTGGCTAGCCAATGTACAGGATGCCAAGGATGGGTCCTGGACAGGTGTTATGTTTCACCAATATTTGGGTTATGGTCACTTTAAGGGAAACGGTTGATGTATTCAGGGGTTCTCACCAATGCAGGGTGAGTGGTTCTGGGACAGTTGAAAATAAAGGAGAGGACTGAGTTACAGTTCTTCCTGAATCAATAATTGCCTGTTTGGGACACGGAATTTTGGAGGTTCAGAGAGATATTCAGAGATGGGAAAGAACCTCCACCCCTGATTATGGGGACTCCGGTCCCTACAGGGTTAAGCAGCCTCCAGAAAGCATTACTTAACCACTTGTCCTCCAAAGGATTTACCCCTTTCCTGACCAGACAAAATTTTTGTGTTACAGCACTGCATTACTTTAGCTGACAATTGCAGTTGCAGTCATGCAACGCTGCACCCAAATAAAATGTACGTCCTTTTTCTCCCACAAATAGAGCTTTCTTTTGGTGGTATTTGATCACCTGTGCATTTTTTATTTTTTGCGCTATAAATAAAAAAATACTGACAATTTTGAAAAAAAAAAACCCAATATTTTTGACTTTTTGCTATTAAACTTGTCCAGTAGAAAAATTTTAAAAATCAAATTTCGTCATAAATTTAGGTCAAAATGTATTCTGCTACATGTCTTTGCTAAAAAAAAATCCCAATATGTGTAAATTAATTGGTTTATGTGAATGTTATAGCGTATACAAATAGCGGTATATATACTGGAATTTAGAAAAAAATGTTTACTAGTAATGGTGGCGATCAGCAACTTATAGCGGGACTGTGGGACTGCGGAGAGCATTCTGACAGTGGGGGGAACTGACTTGGTGTCACTGACATCCCCAGTGACACCAATACAGTGATCAGTGCTAATAAAAAGCACTGACACTGTACTAATGGCACTGGGCGTGAAGGATTAACATCTGGGGTGATCAAAGGGTTAACTGTGTGCTGTTTCACTATGGGGGCTCTGTGTGTGCTTCACTGTTAGCACACTGCTTTGTATGGCTCTGCTATGCAGATACTCTGCGATCACCTGGTGTCGGCGAATAATCACCGGCCGGGACCCAGTGATGTACAGCCGAAGCCACGAATGGCGGTGCCCCCTACCTGGAACTGCAAAATCACGTATATATACAGTTGTGTTCAAAATAATAGCAGTGTGTTGAAAAAAGTGAATAAAGCTCAAAATCCTTCTAATAGTTTTTATTTCCATACACAAAAATGCATTGGGAACACTACACATTCTATTCCAAATCAAAACATGAAGAAAAATATATCAAATTTGTGTTGTTCCTCTAAAAAAAAAATTGAAGAAAAGTGAATATTAGACTGCTCAAAAAAAATAGCAGTGTTTGTATTCTTCTTTACAAACTCAAACATTCACTATATAAACTGAAAAATGTTTGAAGATTTTGCTTTTCCTTTGAATCACTTAATTAATATTTAGTTGTATAAGCACTGTTTCTGAGAACTGCTGTAAATCTGTGTTGCATGGAGTCAACCAACTTCTGGCACCTGTGAACAGGTATTCCAGCCCAGGATGATTGGACTACATTCCACAGTTCTTCTCTATTTCTTGGTTTTGCCTCAGAAACTGCATTTTTGATGTCACCCCACAAGTTTTCTATTGGATTAAGATCCGGGGATTGGGCTGGCCACTCCATAACATCAATCTTGTTGGTCTGGAACTAAGATGTTGTACGTTCCCTGGTGTGTTTGGGGTCGTTGTCTTGTTGGAACACCCATTTCAAGGGCATTTCCTCTTCAGCATAAGGCAGCATGACCTCTTCAAGTATTCCGATGTATTCAAACTGATCCATGATTCCTGGTATGCGATAAATAGGCCCAACACCGTAGTATGAGAAACATCCCCATATCATGATGCTTGCGCAACCATGCTTCACTGTCTTCACTGTCTTCACAGTGTACTGTGGTTTGAATTCAGTGTTTGGGGGTCGTCTGACAAACTGGGGTTTATTTACTAAAGCTGGAGAGTCCAAAATCAGACTCCCTTCTGCATAGAAACCAATCAGCTTCCAGGTTTCATTGCCAAAGCTTCATTGAACAAGCTGAGGTTAGAAGCTGATTGGTTTCTATGCAGAAGGGAGTCTGATTTTGGACTCTCCAGCTTTAGTAAATAAACCCCACTGTGTCTAGCCACTAGACCCAAAAAGAACAATCTTACTTTCATCAGTCCACAAAATGTTGCACCATTTCTCTTTAGGCCAGTCAATGTGCTCTTTGGCAAATTGTTACCTCTTCAGCACATGTCTTTTTTCAACAGTGGAACTTTGCAGGGGCTTCTTGCAGATAGCTTGGCTTCACATAG